CTGATTTTGAGTTACACTGCAAAAACGGATCTAAAAAAGTTAGATTATTTTTCAAATAAGTCAGTTTACCCCCAATTTGAGCAGGTTAACAAGACGATCCGCCAAAGGAATGAGTATTTCTGCTTTTAAAATAAGATAATTAGATAGCATGCACTTGGAATAAGATAAAGGAAATGCTTTTTTTTTTCTTACATTAAACGTAAATCACCTTATTCCATCTGCATTTTACCTTAAATAAAGGTAAAATATACTTCAAGAAAAATCTGCCCACTTATATTTATTTATTTATGTATTTATTTATTTATTTATTTATTTATTTATTTATTTATTTATTTATTTATTTTTTGCTGTGTGTTTTAAGTACAGGGGCCATAACAGGGTTTAGGACCAGTTCTACACAAGACTGGGCAGAATTTTTATCTTCTAGCAAACTACAACTCCAAGTGTACAACCAAAGCTACCACTGAATGGTTTTAATGAAAGCTTATGGAAGGTGATTTAAAAAAATCTACAGCAGGATTAAATAAAAGCTCCCTAAATATACTTCAAACAGAATAACGAGAATAAATCCCTGCATTAATTCATTGACGGTGGAAAACAACTAAAAAAAGGCTGCTAATGGAGCAAAGGGTGGTTCTACAAAGCATTGATTGAAGGAGGTGAGAATAAAAAGACAAGGCGCACTTTTTGAACTTTTAAGAGAAAATTGTTGACAATCATGATTTCTTCTCCTTCCACTTTAACATAATGCACTATTTTGTGTTGAACGATACAAACTAATGTCACAGATGTTGGAAGTGTCCTTTTAAAATCACTGTAGATAAACATACTTCTAATTAGTTAATAGAGCCAATAAAATTTATATTGCAATCAGAGTCAAAAATAAACTTTCACTACAACAGTGTCAAAGAGGTGAATTCTTCTGTTTTGGACATAAATAGGCTCATTATTAGCACTAATAACGGAAAATAAATTAGTCTCATGACTTTGATTGATGGTAGGGTGGGACCTGCAGTGTAATAATCGCCAAGGTTATGCCTTTGATGGTTTTTCCTTCATGGGAGTGTGAAGTCAGACTCCTCTGAAGCAGAGCAAAGTAGTCTTATAATTTGCCCAGTGTGGGCGGTTTACAGCACTGATATAATCCATAACTCTTCTACTATTAAAACTACACATCTCACAGTCTGCATGGCCTTTCTGTATAGATTTCTGCCTTTGAGCTCCTGTCATGTTGCTTGAAGTCATGTAATGTTATGCCACAGAGGGCTGCTTTCTGGGAAGCCACTAGAATGGAAGGCACTGGATGAGAAAAACACAACCCTGGGTCGTGATGCCAGGAGCCGCAAAAGCAAACTTATATCTGTCACTCTCAAAAATGACTACATTTCCTTCCAACAGGAGGCTCTGCTGCTGCATCTGTGAGCATCAGGGTCTCTAAGATTCTGGCAAAGATGGAGCAACCGCATCACTTTGGTGCCAGACATAACAGAAAGGACAGCAAGCTGCAATTTTCACAAACACATCACAGAGCACAGTTCACATCCACTGGGGTCAAGGAGTTCTGGAAGTGATCAGCAGAGCAAAGGGGAAGCAGGCACATTCATTACCTTTGCAAAATACTAAAATCTCACACATGGATTCACCAAAAAACGCATTTAATTGTTGCAAAAGTCTAAGATTATTTGCAAATGTGTGGCAAATCAAAATTAGTTCAATGTATACTATAACATGAGAGCTGCAACTATCTATCACAAGGGAAGGAATAAATAAAAGGAAGTCTGTACCTGCATGTTTTTCAGTTTGTGGTCTGTTGCGCTGTACCTCTCGCATTCCTCCATCCCTCTCCGGAGGAAGGCATTCACAACAAAACTGTCTCCTGGAACAAGGAGAAACAAGGATTACTAGCAGTCTCTGATTTAAGGGATGATCACTTTTGACTGTCTCTCATCACTCTGAGTGATCAAAGTTTATCCTCACCTTCAGGGTTTTCTCTGCGCTTAGACGCTTTGGATCCAGACGCGAGGGTTTAAAACAGAACATTTATTAGTTTCACTTGCAGTGTAAGGGAAAGAAAAATAGAACAACCTGCGTTTGTTTCAGCTTTAACAGAGATCTTACCATGTTTTGACAAAAGTTTGCCCATCCTTAAAATCCTTTCTTTTCCAGGATCAATGAAGATATTCCGAAATCCGTCACTTTACATGGTCACATTGTTTCTGTTCAGCGAGAAGAAAACTTCATTCACTGAGGAAAGCGCGCTCATTAAAGCATTGGTTTTATTCAGATGTTAGGGGAAACAAAATAAAGAAATCAATAAGGTGATCGGTGAGGGTGACGGAGCGCTATCTGCGTCTGGCTCTAGACTTTCCTGCGCTCGGACTGGTGTGAAACCTCCCCAACGCGGCCAACAGAGGAACATGCGTAAAGTTCAGGCATAAATGCGCACTTCCTGTTTAGAATACTAAAAGTAAAACTACACTTTAGGAAATAAATTTCAAACGTCATAGAAATATGTATGTAGCTACTATG